TCCGGCCCTTCTTGTAGATGGGCATCACATTGGCAAGCCTCCAGTCACCCGGGACCTCCCCCGTTAACCAGGACTGCTGATAAATGATGGAGAGCGGCTTGGCGAGCACCTCTGCCAGCTCCCTCAGGTGGATCCCATCTGGCCCCATAGACTTGTGAGCATCCAGGTGGCGTAGCAGGTCGTTGACTGCTTCCTCTTGGATTATGGGGGGTTCATCCTGCTCGCCATCCCTGTCTTGCGGCTCACTGTTTTCCTTTGGCTTGCTTATATCTGAGTCCCCAGACTGTTTTGGTGTGGGTACCAGAGCTTAGCTGTTGTGTGCGTGGTGCCTGATGTCCTATGAAGTCATCTCTCACTTCATAACTGAAAACATACTGCTCTTTCTCTGGGATCATTGACTCTGGAAGTATTACAGCCTTCAAAACTTGCAAATGATAATTGACAAAAGGACGTTAACCCATGTGTTCATTGTTTCCCATTGCTCATAAGGTTGTTTGGTCCTTCTCTTTAGCTTGTTCGCTACCCTCTGAATATTGAACATCAATGGCCTGCCTGAGCATTGACTGCTCCTCTGGATTTGGTATCATCTGTTAAAATTAAGAGTAAATTCTGTTTCATTCAAGGATGATGAAGACCCTATAGTACCGTTCCCTTAGCATGCCAGTCTAACAAGGAATGAGGTAAACTACATGATTGCTGTGACCTTTCAAAGATGATACTGGACAGGCAGTGACATTAGCCAGCTCCTGCAGCACTCTCAAATGTATCCTGTGTAGTCTCATAGACTTGTATGTGTAGGACTTAAGTGATACTTCCTTTTCATGTTTGAGCTCAGTCAGGAGTTCTTTGTGCAGCCGAAGTTGATGTTCTGATATGCCTGCTCAATTTTCTGCATGTTGCAGTGGACTCTTCTTGTGTTCTGAGCTAGTTTAAGGTGCAACCAGTTCTGCTGGGCCTTCTTACCCCCTCACCTGTTAGTTGCATGAACAAGTCAAAGCTCCACTTTAAGGAAGCCTTTGCAGGGACTGTCCCTGAAGTTGGTCCTGCTGTAGGTCAGTGAAACCACTCAAACTTGTCCAGATACTCTTGTCATCCCCTGTGTGCTTGCTTTGATAGATCAGTTGAGAGTAGAGTGAATCCTCATCTGAAGCTATCGGTATTTCCTCTTGGAGATTTTTCACTTGCATCAGTTAACACATTCTTCACATTGAAACTGCATGTCTACTGCCTCTAGAAAGATGCTTCTTTCTAATATCCTTTTCCTTTAACAAGGCCTCCTCTTTCCCCTTCTGTTCCCATGTGTGTAAAGGGGGAAGAAAGGTGGCAATGTCTGTGAGCCATAGCAATATGTATACACTATTCTGTGTGGTCCATTAACAGGTGCATTAAAGGTTGTGCCTCTCTACTTGAGGAATTGTTTCTGGTGAACTGTCCTGCAGGATATTTCTGAGACAAGTTTGAGTTGCTGATGGTATGGTACTCTTGGGCTGTGTTTGCTGAATGGATATTTACTCAGCTGCAGGCAACTCTTGCTGCACACCTGAAGGAAAAGGTTTCAGCGTACCCAGGCCTGCTATGCTTAAAGATCTACTAGGCTGCAGAGATGAAAGGTTTTCCCAGGGCTCAGCTGCCTACATCATCAATCCTGTATTTACTGAAAGAAAAAAAGAAAATTGTTTAATTTGTTGAGGTGACTTTGGACACAGTAGCCTTCTAGTTTTCAAGAACTTTTTAATTTATGTCGGTTAGCAACTCCAGTCCAGCCTTGTAGCGCAGCAAGAGTTGATTTCTCCTTCCTCACTGGCATGGCTTTAGGCAAACTAAAGATGCTATCCTTTGTTTGCCATGCTAGCTCAAATGTGTCTGTACTGTGTGTAGTTTACTGGGTCTGTTTTTGAACATGCTATGTGGATTTCTCAAGAGTGAAGAGAACCTTTAGGAATCTGAGGTGTTTGACCAGCTCTAGTGGAACTGCATCTGGATTGCATGGAGAGTTCTGTGGAAAGTAAAAGTAATGGTCCATATCAGAAACTTCTTAATTGTATCCACTACAGAAAAGAGGCTGTGGTCTTCACCAAACTGTCTGTGAAAACATAGATGCAGTGTGGAGCTGTAGTCAGAAAGTTATAACAGACCGTGAATTGTAGAATACCCTTGAGAACCAATGATGTCCTCACCTAAATACTGTGTGCATTACTAATAGGAGAAGCCTCTATACCAGTGAGTCGGAAAATAAGTGAAACAGTTCGAGAGTGGTTTTATAGGCTGACACTATCTCTTGTAGAGAGGAGATCTGAAAATAGGAATAGCATTACACAAAAGCTAGAGACTGATCTGAAGAGATGTAAGAACAAATGAAGAAATTAGGGGAAGCAGATGGGTAAAAAGCTCATTGAAGTTACAGTTAATACTTACAAAACTCTTCTTTGGGGGACAGCAATAAAATTTTGTACCTTTTTAGGGTTAGAGAAACCTGTGCGATACCACAGCCTGCCTGCCTATTTTGGTCATCTTCAGAGGAAAATGTAGAGTGCAGCAGGCCAGCTTCATTCATTTGTCCTCTAGGAAGACCTAATGTTTTGTGAGAAGGTATTGCACTGAGTTGGAAGATTCCTGTGGAGGAGATTGAGTGAAGAGGATCGTGTGTGTTCTAGACATGGTGTGGTGCTTTTAAGAGTACAAATGAAGCTTTCCTAATAAATGAATCTAATACACTTACTATCAGTACAGTAAAACAAGACCTCAAAGCTCAGGTTCTGTTTTCTGGTCAAACTGCATCTGTTTCAGTGACTTCTGACAGCATAATTGCTTTATTCTGGAGCTGTACTTCATTTCTGGCCAATAGACCTAGATCAATTGACAGTGATACTAATGTAATGTGTTAATTGAATTTTTGTGATACTATAGAAGAGGCAGGAAATTATCAGGACTTCAGTTGCTTTGCTATTCTGTTTGCAACTGACTGTTTAAACCAAACCCATTTGAAATACTGACAGAGCAGTATTCAGTTCAAGATGAATAGGAAAATGTTTGCACTGTTGTCGGGTAATGCTTCATCAGGTTTAGTCATTCTTTCCGTCACTACAGGAGGTGGAGTCTTTTATCTGAGATTCCAATGCAGCCCACTGTAGGGAGGAGTGGACTTGGGCTGTGCCATTAAAAACATGTAGAAATTCAATACTGCCTTTTAAGAGCTGTGAATGTGATGCTGATTGTCAAGTGCTATAGGAGAGCTTTGGCTGATGAAAAATATTGTTGTGTGCCCCTCCCTAAAATTAGGTTGGCTGATGCTTTGTTAGCTTCTGGCACATTGTCCCTCGGACAAGACCTACTAGGCCTTTGTGGTTCCATATTTGTGGCATTGCAGTGCTAGAACTTAGTGCTGATTCCACGTGTGCTTGCTCAGAAACTCTGGAGAAGAGAAATGGCGATTATGCTGGAACGTATTCAGGATTATTTGGTTTGCATCCTCTCCTCCCTTCACATCTTGCTGCTCTCTTCTGTTTCTGTGCTTTGCTGGTCCTCACATGAGGAAGAGACTGAGAGCAGGAGCAGCATTAGGTCCTTGCTTCACAAAAGGCAAATCCCAAGACCTCTGAATCGCTATTGCCACACACAATACTGGTGGTGCCATTTCTCACCTTACTGAGATGCTTCTGACCACCCAGTACAGGTCTATTAAACTGTAAAGTTATGTAGTACAAAGCATCTCGATACAAACAGGACAGACTGGTATTGCAAAATAGATATAAGTAGTATAATGCTGTCGTAAACTCAGAAGTGTAACTTTCCTTTTGGGTTCTGAGTCTCTCAAATACTTCTCAACTGCTATCAGATGCTACCTATTATTACCGTCTACTTAGTCAGTGGGAGTTCCTGTGGATATTTAGTTATCCTGATCAGTTTTATACATGAGAGAACATAACGGATAATGTTACTTATGACTGTGTTTTTTTAATTGAATTCCGACTTCTCTCTACTCACCTCAGCAGCTGACCCTGGCATATTGTTAAGAATAGCTGGTATAGCTATTTCTAGGTACAGCATGTGAAATATTCCAGTTGCCTTTAGGCCATGTCTCTGTGCTTTTTGGAAACTTGGAAAGCTACAAAGAGTGCTTGAAATTACTAATGCATTTGGAGGGTATTTTACTGTGGTGAGAGAAGATTGTCCAGGTTGGTCACTGAGGTTTATTTAATTCCCCAAGATCTCTTGTTACAACCTACAGTGCTCCAGCCTTTCTAAATGTTTATCATCATGTTATCTTAGCTAAAGAAAAGTTCACTGCCCATGCAGTTACCTGAGATTGCCAGTTAAAATAGAGCAAAATATGGTGGTGGTAGTTAAAATAGCTGTGTAGAATTGGAAGGAGACCTGTCAAACTTAGTGTAGACTACTGAAGGCTGTCAGGAAGCAATAGCTTTTGTTTCTGTCCTGGTTTCGGCTGGGATAGAGTTAATTTTCTTCCTAGTAGCTGGTATAGTGCTGTGTTTTGGATTTAGTATGAGAACTCTATCCCAGCCGAAACCAGGACAGTTTCCTACTAGATCAGATGCAGAAGATGCACTTCTGTTTCTAGATCTCTTGTTAAATTCCTTCTTTTAAGGGGAAGAATAGTACAATGGGAACTGTAAATCATGCAACACTTTATAAAACAGACATTACTGATGGCTGGCATTTAAAAAACAAAACAAAAAAACACCAAACTAGAGGGAAAAAAAAAACAAACTGAAATACAGCTTTATCAGTTAACAACCAAAGGGGGAAGATAATCACTGCATCTCTAAGTTGAAAATGTTGAGTGTGTAGAAGAGTATTTGACATGATGTAATACAGTTTCTCTACCTTTAAATTTCTTTTTTTTTGTGGGAGTTCTATATGGAATGGGGCTTTGTGTAGAATGAAGCCAGAAGTGGTCTCTGGCAAGCTTCAGTGTGATTTCTTTCAGTTAACTTTCCAAATGCAGAAGTGTCCTGATCAATAGCTGCTTCTCCATAACACATTTACCCCTTAAAGTGCAATGTCATGTCTTGAAATGCACTTTCACATGCATCAGAGAGAACTGTCAGGTTCTCTGCCTTTCTTGGCAGACAGGGAGGATGTATCATTAAGTAGTTTCTTAGCCTGTTCCTGTGAGGAACAAGAGCAGCATTATTGGCTCTTGTTCTGTCCTACTCTATCTTTGCCCAAATTAAAGCCTTTTAAGTATCTGCTGCTTCTTTTTACCTATATGCTGGTGTTTCTGTACTGATACACTGTTTCTGAACTTGTGTTCAGATTTTTGGGCTTTATAGTTAATATACTGCCTGTGAAATAAGATAACACTTCATCTTTGACTCTGTCTTCTGTTTTCTTTTGGTTGTAGGGTGGTGAGGGAGAAATCAAGGATGGGGTCACAGAAGGACAACTTCATCAACAAGTTCATAGGAATCCTACCTATCGTCCCCGCTATCGCAGGTTTGTACTACTTCCTCTGCTCATCATTAGATTTGGATGTTTCTGTGATCTGTACAGGCTTCATTAAGAGCAGGAAGCTGTATTCCCTGGCATTAATGTGCATGCAAATTCATGCCAGTCAGTCTCACCTCTGTGCCTGGCAAGATCATGGAGCAGATCCTCCTGGAAACTATGCAAAGGCGCATGGAAAATGAGGAGGTGATTGGTGACAGCCAACATGGCTTCACTAAGGGCAAATTGTGCCTAACAAATTTGGTGGTCTTCTACGATGGGGTTACAGTATTGGTAGATAAGGGAAGAGCAACAGATGTCATCTACTTGGACTTGTGCAAAACATTTGATACTGTCCCGCATGACATCCTTGTCTCTCAATTGGAGAGATGGATTTGATGGATGGACCACTCGGTGGATAAGGAGTTGACTGGATGGTCGCAGTCAAAGGGTTGCGGTCAACGACTTGATGTCCAAGTGGAGACCAGTGATGAGTGGTGGAGACCAGTGATGAGTGGTGTTCCTCAGGTGTCAGTATTGGGACCGGCATTGTTTAACAACTTTGGCGACAGGGACAGTGGGATTGAGTGCACCCTCAGTAAGTTTGCTGGTGACACCAAGCTGTATAGTGCGGTTGACATCCTGGAGGGAAGGGATGCCATCCAGAGGGACC